TTTTGGTTTATTTATTTTTGAGACAGAGAGAGACAGAGCACGAGTGGGGGAGGGGCAGAGAGAGAGGGAGACCCAGAATCTGAAACAGGCTCCAGGCTCTGAGCTGTCAGCACAGAACCCGATGCAGGGCTCGAACCCATGGACCGTGAAATCATGACCTGAGCCGAAGTTGGACGCTTAGCTGACTGAGCCACCCAGGCATCCCCTTTTCTTTTCTTTTTCTTTTTTCTAAAGTAAGCTCTGTGCTCATCATGGGGCTCGAACTCACCCACATCCCTGAGGTCAAGAGCTGCATGCTCCACTGACTGAGCCAGCCAGGCATCTCTCGTACATTTTTTTTTTTTTTTTACTAATAATTACTCATAGTATTCGTTGATTTTGCATCCTGGTCTTTGGTACCAGACAGTTCTGGGTTTGAATCCCAGCTCTGTTGCTTCTTTACTGTTTGGGTAAATTTGGGGAATCCACTTCACCTCTCTGAGCCACAGCTTCCTCAAAAGGGTACAAAATAACAGTACTTAATGAACAGTGTTCTTAGGAGAAACAAAAGAAGAGAATGTGTGTAAGGCACTTAGTACAGCATCTAGAGCTTAGTGTGTGCCCGAAGGATGTGGGCTGTTAGGATCACTGTTAGTCAGCAATAGACTGTGAGGCAGGGCCTTGTCCCCTGCTTCCTACTTTGTCTTCAATGCTCGGCCCAATGCTTGGCCTGCACTTGAGCCTAATACGTGTACTGGATGTCTGACCAGAGGCTGGCTATATGGCAGGATGGGTAAATTCTCACCTCTGAGCAGCAAGGAGAGCTAAGGCCCAGGGAGGAAAGAAGATTCCCTCCAGGGGAAAGGATTGGGATAGTGGACCATGGGCAGGCCTGCCCTCACCACTGCCTTCCCCAGCAGGTTTGGGATGTACATTCCGTTCCTGCAGCTGAACTGTGACCTACGCAAGACAAACCTCTTCAGCCACATGGCCTCCCTGGGTCCCCGGGAGGCCGTCAGCGGCCTGGCACGGAGCCGGGACTACCTGCTGACGCTGCGGGAGACCTGGAAACAGCACACGCGGCAGCTGTACGGCCCGGATGCCATGCCCACGCACGCTTGCTGCCTGTCCCCCAGCCTCATCCGCAGCGAGGTGGAGTTCCTCAAGATGGACTTCAACTGGCGCATGAAGGAGGTGCTGGTCAGCTCCATGCTGAGCGCCTATTATGTGGCCTTTGTGCCTGTCTGGTTTGTGAAGGTGCGTAGTTCAGCCCATGGAGGGGCCTGGGGAGGGGGGTGGACAGGGCCTGCCTGGGGCCCTCCTCCTTGCATAAATAACTGGACCATCTTGTGATAGGATTCCCATCTGTTCCCATGAGGGCTAGAATGACCACTACCTCAATTTTAGAGTAGAGAGAACACGGCTCACTGAAAGGGAGTGGCGTGCACAGGGTCACCCAGCCAGTGATTGGGACATGATGCTGCTGGTCATAACACTTGGTCGGTAACAGCAGGCAGTGATGTTGTATTTCACCGTGGCTGTTTCGGCACAGGCACGCCACAGCATCCAGCGTCATCGTTAAGTAGGAAAGCTAGGATTCATCCAGGCCCGAGTGACTCCAAAAGCCTGTGCCTTCTCTCTAGCTTGCCTGGCCTTCTGGGAAGGTACCGCCCCAGCTGACAGTAGGCTGGAAACATTTCTCCAGGGATGGACTGCGCTGAATGATTTGAGGCTGAGAGGACTTAATATTTCTTAAACACCTACAGCGTGCTAGAGCTTTCACGAGTATGATAATCCTCCTAACGCCTCTCCTAGGTGGTTGGTAGCTATTCTTACCCTCATTTAACAGATGAGGCAGCTAGAGCACAGAGAAGTGAAGTGGCTTGGCCAGCATCACATTGTTAATAAGCAGCAGAGTCAAGCTTCGAACTGACGTCTGTTGGAGCGCGGGGCCTGTGCTCTGGCTCAGAGTGGTTAGGCGGTGGGAGCAGTTTTCTGTAAGAGGAGCTGGTAGAGAACTGAGTAGTGGGCACAGGGCCCATGATTAAGCCTTCTTTGTTAGGTGTTTGGTCCTTGGTCTCGGGCCCCCACTGAGGGCCGTCTTGGTTTCCGAGGCCGACGGAATCAGGGAAGAGGGCGGGAGGGAGGCCACTGTGGACATCCCAGGCCTTAACCCACCTCCCACTGCCCCCAGAACACGCATTACTATGACAAGCGCTGGTCCTGCGAGCTCTTCCTCCTGGTGTCCATCAGCACTTCAGTCATCCTCATGCAGCACCTGCTGCCTGCCAGCTACTGTGACCTACTGCACAAGGCCGCTGCCCACCTGGGCTGCTGGCAGAAGGTGGACCCAGCGCTGTGCTCCAACGTGCTGCAGCACCCGTGAGTCGCCCTGCCCCTCCCTGCCCAACCCCAGCGCTCCCGGTCAGTGTCCGGAGTCACTCGGTCGGCAGGTAGTTGTTGAGCACATCTTGTATGTGAGGACTCGTGGCCAGAGGAGGTTTATGGCAGGACCCAAGGCAGACATGTCCCCTGTCCTTAGGTAACTTGCAGCGTGCTGGAGATGTGAGGAGGCCAGGCGGTAAATTCATAGACTCATTGACTTTCTCATTCACTGATTGTTCTTTATTCTGCTCGTTGACCCGTATGCGCTCGCATTCATTCATTGCCTCTCTCCTTCTGTCACTAGCTCAGTCATCCATTCAATCACTAGGTCACGTCGTTTCCAGCAGACATTAGCCTCTACCAAAGCCCTAACCAGCCTGGTGCTGTGGATTGGACAGAGGAGTTTAGACTTTGACCAACAGGCAGAGGGGGGCTAGGGAGGGTTTTGAACAGTGGAGGAACCCATTCCAAGGTGCCTTAGAAACATCTGTCTGGTGGGGTGCCTGGGGGGCTCAGTCGGTTAAGCGTCTGACTTCGGCTCAGGTCATGATCTCACAGTTCGTTGGTTTGAGCCCCGCGTCGGGCTCTGTGCTAACAGCTAGTTCAGAGCCTGGAGCTTATTTCAGATTCTGTATCTCCCTCTCTCTCTGACCCTCCCCTGCTCACGCTGTCTCTCTCTCTCTCTCTCTCTCTGTGTGTCTCAGAAATAAATAAAACATTGAAAAAAAAAGAAAGAAACATCTGTCTGGTCAGAGGATATGGTGCTGTGTTAGCCCTGACCACAGTTTTGGTGAGCCCTGGCCAGGGAAGCAGAGCCACAGGGAGGAAACGACTGAGACAAGGTCCTTGAGGAGTTCACGGTCTGATGGGGGTGATGGTTCACAGACAGGATGATGGGGCGAAAGAAGCCCCGCTGCAGGACGGCCCTGCAGAGGCAGAAGTCCCCTGCTTAGGAGCCCTGAGGGGTTGGGCCGGCCTCCCCTCGGCCTGGCTCGTCCTTCCTGGGGCCTTCACCGTAGTACTTTTCACCCAGGTTACCCTAATTTTCCTGCCTGCAGTCCCCCATTAGACTGGAAGCTCCTCAAGGCTGGGCCCACCTGAACCTTGTCTGAGCCATGGCCCCAGCACAAGGTATGGCAGAGCAGAGGCCCCCCAGGACAGATTTGTAGGGGTGGGCCCACCAAGAAGCAGAGATGCAAAGGAAAGCCACAGAGGCCAAGCTCCCCGGTGTTGGCTCTCTGTGCTAGTCAGGGCCCCTCCCAGGCTCTGTGCAGGTGGTCCAGGAAAGGGGATGGAGATCGCCAAATGGGCTCAATGGGGTCTCAGCATAGCCATAGCCTCTGAGGGGAGGGAGGAGTGAAAAGGTAGAATATAGTTAAGGGACACCTGGGTGGCTCAGTCAGTTGAGTGTCTAACTCTTGATTTTGACTCAGGTCATGATCTCAGTGGGGTCATGGGATGGAGCCCAGCATTGGGCTCCATGCAGACTGTAGAGTGTGCTTGAGATTCTCTTTCTCTCTGCCTCTTTCTACTCATGTGTGCATGTGCTCTCTCTTACTCTCTAAATAAAAAAATAAAATAAGGAGCGCCTGGTGGCTCAGTTGGTTGAGCGTCCGACTTCGGCTCAGGTCATGATCTCACAGTTCATGGGTTCAAGCCCCACATCAGGCTCTGTGCTGAATGCTTGCTCAGAGCCTGGAGCCTGCTTCAGATTCTGTGTCTCCTTCTCTCTCTGCCCCTCTCCCGCTCACGCTCTGTCTCACTCTGTCTCTCAAAAATAAATAAAAATGTAAAAAAAAAGTTAAATAAAATAAAAAATAAAGAGAATATAGCTGAACAGGAGGAGGCACCTGTCCGTCGCTGACCACGGCCTGCAGAGAAGACCCAGGCTCCTTCACATGGCTTCCCAGCTGCTGCACTGGGTCCCGCCAGCCTTTTCTGCCTCATCTCTCACCATGCCTCCACTCCTACTCTGCTCTAGCCAGACTGAGCTGCTTCAGATCCTGCAAATTCTATGTGCATGTGTGTATCCAGGCTTTTGCATGTGTTGCTTGTTTTGTCTGGAACACCCTTTCCAGTTCTTTTCCTGATTAATTCCTGTGCATTCCTTACCACTTTGCTTCCTCCTGGAACACTTTCTGCACCACCCAGGATGGTTCAGTGCCCTTCCCCTGTTTTCCCACAACCCTAAAATATGATGATCATTGCACCTAACACTGTCTGCTGTGTTTGCTTAGTTACTTGTCTGTTATTCCAGGAGGAAAGCTCCTTGCCTGTCAAGAACTCAGCCATCTCACTCCCAGAGTGCCTGGCTCATAATAGGGTCCTTGCCTGTCAAGAACTCAGCCATCTCACTCCCAGAGTGCCTGGCTCATAATAGGGCCCCAGTAAATTTTTGTGGTTTGTGTCTAGTCTTTTTTTTAAAGGTAAAATTTACATACAGTGAAATGCACAAATCTTAAGGGTACTATTCTTTGAGTTTATTAGTCATACATACCCATGTAGCCCACATTGAATCAAAATGTAGAACATTTTCAGCCTCAGAAAATTTCCTCCCAGCGTTTGCCAATGACTGCCCCCTCACCACCACCACCCAGACAACCATTTTTCTATATTCTTTCGAAACTAACCATAGGTAGGGGGCCTAAGTGGCTCAGTTGGTTGAGCATATGACTCTTGAGTTCAGCTCAGGTCATGATCCCAGGATCATGGGACCAAGCCCTGCATGGAGCCCACTTAAGATTCTCTCTCTTGGGGCATCTGAGTACCTCAGGTGGTTGAGCATCTGACTTTGACTCAGGTCATGATCTCATGGCTCAGGAGTTTGAGCCCCACATCAGGCTCACTGCTGTCAGCACAGAGTCTGCTTTGGATCCTCTGTCCCCCTCTCTCTCTGCCCCTTCCCTGCTTGTGCTCTCTTTCTCAAAAGTAAATAAAATTTTTGTTAACGTTTATTCATTTTTTGAGAGACAGAGAGTGGGCCGGGGAGGAACAGAGAGAGACGAGACACAGAATCTGAAGAAGGCTCTAGGCCCTGAGCTGTCAGCACAGAGCCTGACATGGGGCTCGAACCCACGAATCATGAGATCATGACCTGAGCCAAAGTCGGATGTCTAACCGACTGAGCCACCCAGGCACCCCTGAAAGTAAATAAATCTTAAAAAAAAAAAAAAAAAAAAAAAGATTCTCTCTCTCAGGGCGCCTGGATGGCTCAGTTGGTTAAGTGTCCAACTTAGATTTTGACTCAGGTCAGGATCTCATGGTTCATGAGATTGGGCCCCACATGCTTAGGATTCTTTCTCTGCCCCTCCCCTGCTCATGCACTGTCTCTCAAAATAAAAATAAACTTTTTTTTAAAAAGATCTCTCTGCCCCTCTCCCTCACTCATGCGTGTATGCGTGCTTGTGTTCTCTCTCAAAAAAAAATTTTTTTTGGATAAATAAAACAAGTTGGTTTTAGCTGTTCTACAGCTTCACATAAATTAAATCTTGGGTTCAGTTTCTTTTTCATTCAGTATATTGCCTGTGAGTTTCATCCATGTTATTAGTTATAATGTGATAACTGGTTTTTCTTTCTTTTTTAAGTTTTATTTTTTTATTTTTAAGAAAAAGACAGCATGAGCGAGGAAGGGGCAGAGAGAGAGGAAGACACAGAATCTAAAGCAGGCTCCAGGCTGAGCTGTCAGCACAGAGCCCGACGCAGGGCTCAAAGTCACAAGCCGTGAGATCATGACCTGAGCTGAAGTCAGGCGCCCTTTCTTTTGTTTTATTTTTGTTTTTGTTTTTTGTTTTTGATTTTTTTTTTTTTTTTGATAGAGCACTGCACAAGCAGGGAAGGGGCTTAGGGAGAGGGAGAGAGAGCATCTCAAGCAGGCCCCATGCCTAACGCTGAGCCTGATATAGGGCTTGATCTCAACCCTGAGACCATGACCTGAGCAGAAATCAAGAGTCAGACGCTTAACCAACTGAGCCACCCAAGTGCCCTGATAACTGGTTTTTACATGAATGAATCAACAGGGTAGGAACATAAGATAGAGTTTTTTGTTGACAGTGATTCTCTGTCCTCTGGCCCGGGACCCTGGGAGATCTGGTAGAACACTGGCCAGACTGGAAAATCCCACCATCTTATTCCCATGCCTACTGAGGCTCCTCTGTGCCAGGCTGTGTGCCACGCTCTAAGGACATAGAGATGAATCGGACACCATCACTTCCCTCCAGGGCTCCCAGGCTAGTGAGGGATACAAGGAAATAAATAAGTGATAAAACATTGGGGAAAGTGGACCAGTAGTAGTAGATCCAGGGAGCAGTTAAGGATACTGATCTCTGTGGAGTTTGAGAAAGGCTTTCTGGAGGAGCCTGAGTTTGGAAAGAGCTTGCCAGAAGGATACGGCATCAGGAGTGCAGTTCGGTTGGAGGGAGAGACATACAGAGGCATGAAAGGTCAGCTTTGCGGAAGGAGCTAGAGACCGTTCTGAATGGCTTGAGCCTGAGCTGTGCGGTGGGAGTCGGGGGGCCTCAGAGGCCACACCACATCCTGGGGGACTTGACTCTGAGGGTACTGAAAATACTACAGAGGGTTCTGATCAGAGAATAGGCTCAGCTTGGTGTTTTATGAAGACCCCTCAGGCAGCTGTGTGAGGCTAGAGGTGAGACCAGGTGAGGAAAATGCACCCAAAGAGGGAAAAGGCTTTCCTTGACAGTCCCTCAGGCATGATTATCAACCCTAGGCCCCCCGCCTCCCAGTGCAGTGAATTTCTCATGATTGTTACCCCATTTTACAGAGGAGGCAGCTGAGACCCAGAAAAGGAAAGTCACCGTGTCTAAATGATCGAAATGGGAGTAGGGTGCCCAGGCTTCTGGGACCCCCTTCTGTGGGTGAGCTGGGCATAAGGGGCACTGTTGGGCTGTGCCTCCAGGTGGACAGAAGAATGCATGTGGCCGCAGGGCGTGCTGGTGAAGCACAGCAAGAACGTCTACAAGGCAGTGGGCCACTACAACGTGGCCATCCCCTCCGACGTCTCCCACTTCCGCTTCCACGTGAGTCTCCTCCCCGGGGAAAGGGGGGCGGGGCTGATCTAGAGGGCAGGAGGATCCCGGGGCAGGAAGGTGATGTCCTAGCAAGAGAAAGCTATTTTTAGCATTTCCCAAAGCCAACGGACACTACAAACCGTGCAGCACAAGGACAGCTATGCCAGTGGTGACTTCATAACTGCGGCTCACTTGGTAGCAGATCTTAATGAAGGCATCAGGTGGAGGCAGGGAGGATGATACAATAAAAGAAGAGGTTCTTAGCAGCGAAAATAAGAACTATCCCCGTTCCTTATGGTGCACCAGGCACGGCGGGAAGCAGTTGCCCAGCAGCCTCCGTGCGGTCTTTGCCTGTGTGCGAGAGAAACCCCACGGCTATCCCCGTTTGCCGAGACTGAAATTGGCTCAGAGGCTCTAACTCGCTCAAGGGTGCCTTGCTTGGAAACTTGGGGTCTGATGGTCAGGACTCCTGGACTCAGCATTATGGAAAGGGTTGCTCCAAATCACTGAGGCTAGTGGTTTCCATTTTATTTACTTATTTTACTCTCAAAATCCTTTTTTCCAACACAGTCGTAGACTGACGTCCGGTATTTAGGACCTTCTGGCACTGCTCTCTTTGGAAGAGTTGGAACTGCCTTCACTTCCCACTCACCCCCGCTCTAACCCCTAAAAGACCTCCTCAGAAGGGCTTCAAGGAACACAATTTGAGGAATCATTGATCTGGGTGATCTCCTCACAGTAGAGAAACCTGAGGCCCAGACAGGAAAGGGACTCGCCCAGTGTCCTGCAGCCTGTCAAGTGCAGAGCTGAGCCCTGGACTCCCATTTCCTTCCACTTCTCTTCCCATCATCCTGTAAGCAGCTCTTGAGGTTAGGTGCCTTGGACCCTGCACAACTGAAATTCCCTAAGACGTTGATCACACTTTGGAACAGATCAGAACATTTTTCCTGAGTCCCTATACTCTATCTTCCTCTGTAAATACCAGGTCAGAGTGAGGTGTCACCATACGCCCTAGAAGCTTCTGGCCTAGGTCGGGATGCTACCCACGAAGAAGTGGGTTTCTCACGCTGCAGAGTCTATGCTGACTTCCCATGCCTATGTCATAAGATTCTAATTTGGTCAGGCCTGACTATACCTGGGAGGATCACATACGAAAAGGTGTTGATTATAGACCAGAAAAAGCTGGAGCGAGTAAGCGAGGCCTCTCAAGGAAAGCTTCCCAGAGGAGGTAGCAGTTCAACAACATCTTAACCACCTCGTGTGGGAAGAGGTAGTCTTGGTGGAAGAAATCCCACAGGCAGAGGCGGAGAGGTGGCAGAGTCCGTGCCCAGCCCTACGTCTTCCTCCCTGCCCATGTCGTGCATGGGGCCCCCAGAGCTTGTCCCCTTCACTGGCCCACCCAGAACCCCCATCCAGGAGGCAGGTTTCTGGAACATGCTTCCAGGCCCTGCCTACCCTTTGCCGGGCAGTTCTTTTTCAGCAAACCCCTGCGGATCCTCAACATCCTACTGCTGCTGGAAGGTGCTGTCATTGTGTACCAGCTCTACTCCTTAATGTCCTCTGAGAAATGGCACCAGACCATCTCCCTGGCGCTCATCCTCTTCAGCAACTACTATGCCTTCTTCAAGCTGCTGCGGGACCGCTTGGTATTGGGCAAGGCCTACTCCTACTCGGCCAGCCCCCAGAGGGACCTGGACCACCGGTTCTCTTGAGCCCCAGGGTAACCCCCAGGGACAGCAGCCAGGCTTCTGGCAGGAGCTCTCTGGGAAGGGGCTGTTGGGGAGGGTTGGGTGAGGGGGCAAAAGAAAAAAAAAAAAACCAGAAAAACGGACAAAAAAAGTGACCAGAGCTTTGTATTTTTGTTACATACTGTTTCTTTCTTTGATAATTGATGTGATTATGAGGGGGGGAAAAAGTCCTATTTTTATACTCCCATTAAGCCTGTGTGTCCTGTGTTTCTTTCCATTCCTGTGTGTCAGAGCAGAGGTTAGGATTCTGGGCCAGGAAGTCCTATGTGTGGCTTCTGGGGCCCCTGTGGGTCCTGCCTTCTCCAGTGGAGAGGAGATGAGGCATCGGAAGTCATGCTAGCAGTGGTAGCTACTGCCCACTGAAGGCTGTGTATCAGACATTACTGTCATGTGTATTATAAGCTTCGTCTCAATCCAACTTTTATGACAACCCTAGCAGGTAGGTGCTGTCAGTCTAATTCTGTACATGAATGAGAAGCTCAGAGAGCTATAGCGACTTCCAAAGGCAACACAGCAGCCAAAAAACCCTCCCAGAGGACACCACCACTATCCTTGCAGAATGTGATGTCCTGACTCTCTAAGCAGGCAGTCACTGAGACCCTGCTCTGTGTCATCTGCTGTGGTAGACAGGATGCCAAGACCGGAAACAAACAGGTCGTGCTCCACTGGGGTGGGGATAACAGTTACAAGACAGAGTAGCACAGGAGACAGTATGTTTAGTGCTCTCTGGATTTCTTGGAGGAGGGGACAGGCTGACTTGCCAGGCACATCCTACATGACCAAAGTGGGGGGAAAGGTGCTTCAAGCAGAGTAAAGGACATGTAATAACAGAGATTTGGAATATTCTGGTGTATTTGGGGCCAGTAGGCAGAATGGTTCCTAGAGCAGAAAGGATAAGGAACAAGGGGTGGGTGGGGGTGGGGTGGGGCTGGAAAGGTCTGCAGGGGATGGATCGGGGAGGACCAATGGTTCTAGGCCAGGGAGGGTGGATAAGCAAGGTCAAGGGCTAGAGTGGAAACAAAGCTGCTTGGAGGGCCACCTGGCTCTTACAGGACAGGTTAGAGGGCTCACACTGGGAGAAGGGGACAGTCATAGCCACTGTCTACTCTGCTTGTGTTTCCTGAGCCGTATTTTGCCACAGGATATGCAGATGGGTCTGTGGCGGTGTGTGGGAGACAGACATTACAACCAAAGGTTTTGGTGTCTCTGTTGAGGAAGGCATCATGCTAGGCCTGGGACAGATACAAAGATAAGAAAGATGTCCCTTCCTTAGACACCCAGGAGACAGAAACCTACTTTGTAAGCAAATTAGGGTGCTAAGTGCTAAGGAGAATGTGTGTCCGGGGCACTGAGGAGCAGAGAGAACAGATACCCAGGCTCTGGAAAGACAGAGTATTTCAGGGAGGGGAGGAGTTGAACTGGGTCTTGAAAGTGAATTTGTTCACGCCATGGTCAAGGGGAAAGGGGAGGCATTGCGTTCAAAGCAGGGAAACAGCATGTGCAAAGGCACAAAAAATGCATACTTGGGGAAAGGGGTTCCCCAAATACGAATGGACCCTGAGTGGCTTGATGGAGAATACCCCAAAAGTGAATAAGGACCAGCCTGTGTGTCAGATTGAAATGTCTGAGCATTACCTAAGGGCAGACAAGTTACTAAGCAGAGGAACAACCTGACAAGTTCTCTGCTTTTTAAAATGTTAGTCTAATGTTTGTTTATTTTGTGAGCACCCATGCTACACACACACACACGTGGCGTAAGGGCAGAGAGAGTGGAAGGGAATCCTAAGCAGGCTCTGCGCCTCCAGCCTGGAGCCTGACACAGGGCTCAATCCCACAAACAGTAAGATCATTACCTGAGCTGAAATCAAGAATTAGACACTTAACTGACTGAACCACCCAGGTGCCCCGTAAGGTCTCTGCTTTTTGGAGATAGTGCAAGTGGGAGAATCCGGAGGCAAGGGACCAGTGAGGAGCTGGCAAAATAGACCAAGAGAAAATGAAGAGGTCTGACCTTGAGCAGTGGCAGTAGGCAGAGAAAGATTATGCTCCCTTTCCGGACCCTGAGTTCCGGACTTGGCTTTTTGAGTTCTTTCCTTTAATGGGCCAGGCACTGGCCAGGCACACATGTAGAGGAGTCAATTTGTTGTGACAGAACTTGGAAACCCGGGTCTCTCACTCTACTTCCAAAAGACAGTTCCCTGTGGGCCTAGTGACTTGAAGATGTAACCTTTTCCTGTTTGTTGAGGTGGGGGACAGGACTGGCCAGGCATTATGCAAAAAGGGAGGTCTGATGTGTACCAGCCATAAATTCCATGATTCAAAAGGCACATGAATACTCAGAGCCTCAATTTCCTCATCTCTAAAAAGGGAGATCATATCTCTTTGTGTAAGTCCCAGGCCTATTCATTTGATTATTTCTTAATTTTTTTATGCTTTATTTCTGAGAGAGAGAAGAGAGAGAGAGAGAGCATAAACAGGGGAGGGTCAGAGACAGAGGGAGATACAGAATCTGAAACAGACTCCAGGCTCTGAGCTAGCTGTCAGCACAGAGCCCTATGCGGGGCTCGAACCCACGAACCATGAGATCATGACCTGAACCGTGAGATCATGACCTGAGCCGAAGTCCGATGCTTAACCGACTGAGCCACCCAGGCGCCCCCATTTGATTATTCACTAAACTATTTATGGAGCGCATACCATGTGTCAGATCCTGGGCTAGGTGCTGGAGACAAGGTGATGAACCTACCCCTGCCCTCAGCTTGCTGGTGGGGTGGTAGGGGAAGGATGAAATCCAACGATCAACTAGAAAGCCCTGCATCGGTCTCATTATTTTTCCATTTCTTATCTCCCAATAAGGTCATGATCGGGTTTACTTTTAACTTCTTAATTTCCTTATTTCCATATCCTTAAGCAAATCTCCCCCCGCCCCCCCCCCAGGCGATTCCTTATTCACCTCCAGCTCAGGGTCTATGATTGGCTTTAACTACGGAAAGGAAGGAATGTGTTTCTAGCAGAGGAGACTTCATTACACAGAGAAAATAGCAGAAAAGGCTGAGAATTCCTGAACACGCTTGACTTTCTTTAGTGTCCCTCCTAGTCTCCCTCCACTACTCTTTTTATAGTCCATCCCTATTCCCCGCCCTCGGTAGCTGCGGTCTCTTTAAGTGCGCTCCTCCCCGTCAGCTAGGCTGGGGGGCGGAGAGCGCGTTTCTTCACGGGGTTGAGTGTTAAGTTGTTTGTCCGTTTCGGGCTGCCGTCCTGCAGATCCGCCATATTGTCTGCTGAAGCTACTGCTGAAGCTGCCGCTGCTGCCGCCGCCAAGTAGGAGCGAGCGGAGCCGCGATGGGTGAGTAAGGACACCAGGCAATCGGGAACTCGAGCTGAGGCAGTTCCTGGGGTGTGGGGTCTCGCGGGAGGCTGTCTCCGGTCTGCGGAAAATGTCTGAAGCCCCTCCAAATAGGTTTGAGAGGAGAAGCCAGGCCGGGAGAGCAGCTCAGGCCAGTTTGGGGCCGGGCTAGGGCCCCTGCGGGAGCAGTCTTTGGGGGCTGGTTCCGGGAGCACCTTGTCACGCCTGGAGCCCCCACGTGGTGACCCTGGGCCGGAGCCCTCGCGTTCCCAGGGGCTGGAAAGGGGCCGACCGCCCGGCCTGCGCCGAGATGGGGCTGGGGCTGGGGCGGGGGCGGGGGCGGGGGGGGGGGGCGGGTGACGGGCTCCCGGCGGCAGGCCCGGGCGGCGCTCAGGGAGCCCTTTCCAGGCGTGTGTGTGACCGACGCGCATCTTCCCTGGATTCGGGGCTCCTCTGAACTCGAGGGAAAGCCTGCCTACGTCGCGAGCAGAGTCCCCTGGTGAGGGAACGCCGGGCGAGCTAGCTCCAGGCCCGTAACGAGGGGCAGCCATGCCGAAAGCAGCCTGGGCCGCTGAAGGCCGGCAGAACTTCCCGAGCCGCGGGCGGAAACGGGGTGGTTCGGTTGGACTCGGTGACAGCCCGGTAGTAGGAAACCACAGGCCGAGACCTCGGGGCCATGTGTAGTAGATCGGGACTTCAGGTTTGTGGGGCTGGCACTGGTAAGGAGAAAAGGAGCGACCTGTTGCTCTCTCCGAAGGGACTCCGGCTGGCAAGGCCTGTGCTCAGGGATAATACGAAGGCGAAGTCTTTGAACTTAAGCAACAGAACCATCAGTGAAGGGACAGTGCCTCTTAAGCATTAAAAAAACCGGTTGATTTTGCTGAGCTCTTTCTACGCGCGGGCATTGTTCTGACTGCTTTACATGTTACGTTTTACTTAATATGCACAACCTAGTGAGACAGATATTCCTGTTCCCCCTATTTTACAGCTGAGGAAACTGAGGCTTAGAGAGAGGTAAAGTAACTTACCCAAGGTCACACAGTTAGTGGTTAAACCAGGGTGATCCAGAGCCCCAGGTTATAGCTGCAGTTTTTTTTATGGCTTGGCCCCCTAGTGGTTGGGCTGGAAAAGGGGAAAAAAGCTTTTAATCCTAGGCAAAGTTGTAAAGGTGTTTTTTTGGGTGTGCTGGTGGGCCCACTTTGAAATCTTTAGTCTGAACGAAACTGAGAAACTCCAAAGTGGATTGCTAACCCCAGCAGTTGTGTATGGAAGGGAGTGCTAAATGAGATTCTGGGATTGAGTTTAGTAAGATCCCAGATTCTGAAGAAACAAATACCCTTGAATAAGGCAATGACTTTTTATTTTTTATGTTTTATTTTTGCAAAGCAGTGACTTTAGAATCAGATCTGGTGTTATAATCCTGCCTGCCACTTTCCAGCTTTCATCACTTAAATGTCAGATATTAGGAAGTCACTTAAATATCAAATGCAGTAATGCGCATAGGAAGCATCTAGCAGTCCACAATCAATGTTATTTCTCTTCCTTTCTGATCCTTCCTTTCCTCATGTCTAGAAGGAGGGGAGAGAGAGTGTTATCAAGATGTTTGAAGACTAAATACGATAACTGTTTAGAAAACAGCCTGGTAAGGGCTCTGTAGGCATCAGAACAGATTCTTTTCTACCTCCAATAGCATTCCATTCTCTTAAGCACTCTGGTTTTCAGAATCTTCTGTGAAGCGTGATAGGTTTCTTTGTAACTGCAGCTTTATGAAGTGAAACATTTGGGGGACTTTTATGTTACAGATTTTCTATCAGCCTTCAATTTTAGAAACACTTCCTCAAAGGG